GTGTTAGCCAGGATGGTCTCGATCTCCTGACCTCGTGATCCGCCCGTCTCGGCCTCCCAAAGTGCTGGGATTACAGGCTTGAGCCACCGCCCCCGGCCAGAATCTTGAAAGTGAGGATACAATGTTTGGGTTTTTCTTTTCCAGTGTTTACTTTGTAGAATTATAAACTGCTGACCTAGAAACTTTCATCAGTTTTCTTTGAAGTCATCAAAAACCCTTTAAAAGAATAATTTGCTTGGCAACTTTGTTGTGCAAATAATACAAATAAAAGGATAACAATTTACTCATATTCTAACCAAAGTATCTGAAATTGAGTGTTTTAAAATCTTCTGTCCTTCAAAAAAATTGAGTCAGTTTGCCTACTGGTACTTCATTTGAGGTCAAACACTGAACAGCCCACATCTCAGAATCTGTCAGACATTTGCAACAGCTATAGTTGACAACCATTATAAACGCTAACACAGTTACTTTTGCTTGTACACAGCTGCTTTCTAGGAGCAGGAGGCACCAAGAGTCAAACATCCTCTAATCAGTAAATGTGTTTTAAGAGGAAGGAAGGAAGGAAGACCCAGTGCCTTTCTCTACCTTGTTTTTTCTTTCTGATATTCTGTAGCAATTTCTAGGTTGAATACTCATTCACCTTTCATGTAAAGTGTCTGAGCGTCCCACACATCTTATTTGGTTAGGATTGTCTCAGACCTGCCAGGCAGTTAAAAACATACTTTCATTTCTCATGATTTAAAAATGTAATTATATTTGGATCTACTTTAGATCACTTCTGGTAATACTTCCAGAATTATTTTCTGTTACTGGTTTTGAAAAATTCTGTGCGATTTTTCCTTCTTGGCCTTCTGAAACTCCAATTACATTTCTGTTAGACCTTTTCATTATGCTCCCATAAGTCTCTTGTGTTCTTTTCTAGGAACTTTTTTTAGCCATCTATTTTGCCATGCTTCATTTAGTCTGAACATTTTCTGGGACCTTGGCCTTGAAGTCCTGGTTGCTTTGCTAGCTCGCTCTACAGTGCCTTCAAAAATATTTTTAGTATTTTCTATAATCTTTCTAGTTGTTCTCTGTCAAAGAATGGTCTTCTGTAGGCTGGTCAGTCATGGCCAGAAGCAGAAACCTCAGAATTATTTTGTAAAGATCAAATTTGATCACGTCTCTTAGGCAAAACCTTTCAGGGCCTCATTGCCCACCCCGTTATGCAGGATAAACACTCAACTGCATCACAAGACTCCCAAGGCTCATTATTATTATTATTATTATCATCATATTTTTATTTTTTAGACAGAGTCTCACGCCTATGCCCAGTCTAGTCTCAAAATCCTGACCTCAAGCAGTTCTTCTGCCGCAGTCTCCCAAAGTGCTGAGATTATAGGATGAGCCACCATGCCCAAGCCTTCCAAGGCTCATTACTTACTACTGACCTTTCTTCCAGTTACCAGGCCTCTCTTCAGCTCTGTTGTCTTAATTATATTTTTAATTTCAGAATTTCCATTTTTTTCTTTTTTATAAATTCTAGTTCTCAAATGAAATTCTCTTCTTGTAACCTGTTTTCTTGAACATGTTAATCCACGCCTTTTGTGCCCTTCCCTGGTCATACCCTTCAGGAACACTGATCTTTTCCCCAACCCTAAGCTTGAGTACTGTTGTATTACAATGGTAGTAACCTTCAGATATTCCATTTCTAGGCTGTAGAGATCTTAAAAATGTTGGAAAAAAAGGACAGTAGAGTGAAAAGTGCAGCTGCGACCAATCTCTCAGCCCTGTATTATATGGTAAGTTTTTTTTACTACTAAGAGTTAAATATATTAGTATATGATTAACTCTTTTTTGTATTGCTAATTTTGTATTGCTAAATTTCTGCCTGAGGATCATGCCTAAGGAGAAATCCCAAAGAATACTGGTGGAGAATGGTAAGTGGACTGAGGTGTATAGAGGATCTGATCATGACAAGTGCCAGGCCAGGGGCTGAGTTGGCAGACATGAGTGAGAAGACCATCTCTGAAGGAGAAGGGAGGGAGAAAAATTGTAGTGATAAGTATCACATCATAGATTATGGAACGTACAGCTGGAAGAGCTAGAGATGTGTTTCAACTCTTTTGTGTTATTAGTAAAGAAAGTGACATCTTAGGTTAAAAGACTGATGTAAGGTTACAGAGTATCATCTCTAACAAGCTTTCATTGAGCATCTACTGGATGCCAATCATGGGAATACCGAAAGTCTAAAAGCTCCCTGAAGGGGAGCGTTTTTGTCTTTGGAACAAAGGAGGTAGACAAGGAAGGAAGGTTTAAAGTAGAGAACAATAAACTAACATAGATAATAAGTGCTTCAGAAATTCAGAGGAGGCAAAGAACATTCTAATTTAGGGCTTTCAGGAAAGATTTCATAGAGAGTTGGATCTTGCAGGTCAGAATATAGAAAGGGGCATTTGTAGGGAGACGGGGACTAAACAAAAGTACAGAGGCAAGAAAGTGCTGGGAGGGAAGTGTGTATAAGAGTCATTTCTTTTCACCAGAAAATACAGAATTTCTCGTAGGCTTTTTCTGAATATTGAAAATTGATTATAGGTAGGTGTGGTGCCTCAAGCCTACAATCCCAGCACTTTGGGAGGCTGAGGCATGTGGATCATTTGAGCTTAGGAGTTTGAGACCAGCCTGGGCAACACAATGCCTGTCTCTACAAAAAGTTCAAAAAATCAGCTGGGCATGGTGGTGCGTGCCTGTAGTCCCAGCTACTCGGAAGGCTGAGGTGGGAGGATCCCCCCGAGCTGGGGAGGTCAGGGCTGTTGTGAGCCATGATTGTGCCATTGTACTCCTGTTTGGTGACAGATACCTTGTCTCAAAAAAAAAAAAAAAATTGTAGATTTTCATTTGTCACTTTGAGAACCTCTACGATTTTAAGGACTGGAGGTTAGAAACAACTAAACTGTGTAATTTTTCAGTATCCTTTTCAATTCTGTCATTCTATGATTCTTAGAGGAAATGATCTGAGATTTAATTTTGTCCTGCGTGTAGAAGAAGCCTATAAGAGCTTTCCTTAGGAATAACTGTTGATGCTGAGGTGGCAGGGCCAGGAAGGGCCCAGATGAAGGCATGATAGCAACCCAGACCTCACCATATACCTGGGCGGTAAACTATTAGAAGGCTACCACAACTCCTTAACTCTGCCTTAGCCACTAGCTCTTGAATTTCCAGCGTCTTGGGTTTTGCTTAAGTTTTGCTCAGAATAATGGCATAGGAATGGGCTTAACAGATTTCCAAGAACTGCCCTTATTGTAAGAATATTCCATTTGATCCAACCCCTTGTTTAAATTTACTTTCATGACCCAACTGAAATATGAAGCCTTCCTGACGCTCCTTGGCAGATATTCTCACCTCCCTTTGTGCTCCTAGAATATTTTGTTTGCACTTACAGCATTGTATTTTAATGGTTTATATGTGATTCTTCTCCATTAGCCCATCAGCTTCAGCTTTGTATTGTGCACAGTGCCTTGCTGATGACAGGTGCTTTTTTATATGTGATTCT